CTTTCTTCCTTCTTTCTTCCTTCTTTCTTCCTTTTTCCTTCCTTTTTCCTTCCTTACTTCCTTTTCTCTTCCTTCCTTTATTCTTTCTTCCTTTCTTCTTCTTTCCTTCCTTCCTTTTGTTTTCTCTTCCTTCCTTCCTTTTTTCTTCTTTCTTTCTTTCTTTCTTTCTTTCATCTTTCTTCCTTCCTTCTTCCTTCCTTTCTTTTGTCTTCCTTCCTTCCTTCTTCCTTCCTTCCTTTCTTTTTCCTTCCTTCCTTCCTTCCTTCCTGCCTTCCTTCCCTTTCTTTTCTCTTCCTTCCTTTTATTTTTTCTTTATTCTTTCTTTCTTTTGTCTTCCTTCCTTCCTTCTTCCTTCCTTCCTTTCTTTTTCCTTCCTTCCTTCCTTCCCTTTCTTTTCTCTTCATTCCTTTCTTTCTTTTATTCTTTCTTTCTTCTTCCTTCCTTCCTATTTCCTTCCTTCCTTCCTGTCTTTTCCTTCCCTCCTTTCTTTTATTTCTTTCTTCTTTTCTTCTTCCTTCCTTTCTTTTGTTTTCCTTCCTTTCTTCCTTTTATTTATTTATTTTTCTTTTTTTCTTCCTCCTTCCTTCCTTTCTTAAGAGCGTCCTTCTTTTTGTCTCTAATTCCTCTTCTAAGATGGGGCTTGCCATTTCCAGTTTTCCCCTCTGTGCCAAAACCAATGGACAGCTTCAGATCTTCTGCTTCTCTTAAGGATAAAAAAAAAAGTTCTTAGAGCAGTGGTGGGATCCTCCCGGTTTAACAACCGGTTCGATGATTGCACAATTTGTGCGCGCACAATTTGAAGAAATCTTGGTTTCTTTGGAGGAGTAACACAGCTGATTCACGCGCAAGTCAGCTGAGAAGATAAAGGTAGGAAAATAGGCCGGGATGGTGGGCCCATCTGATCGTTGGAGCTACCGGTTCACCCGAATCAGTCCAAACTGGTAGAATCCCACCCCTGTCTTAGAGTCTACTAAAGTGTCCCCTTCTTAGGAGAATCGCCGTAGCTTCCCATCGCATTCTTTGGAAGTGGCAGGCCACCAGCTTGGATACCCCCCTCACTGCAAGTGTCTTTTACGATAACCATCCCTTAAGTGCAAAATGTCCTTTTTGCAGAGTAAGAAGAAAAAGAAAACGGACTTCATTCCCTACAGGGATTCTGTGCTGACATGGCTACTTCGGGAAAACCTAGGTATGAAGTTGAGATAACCTTTTCCTTTCGTTTTTTTAAAGTTTCACTCCCGAATAACTAGCCATTATTTTACACGCGGTAGACCTCTCTGCAAAGAATGGCCCTGTTTGGTGAAGCAACAGGCTTTATAGGCCATAACGTTTAGATCCTCTGTCTTTGAAGCCTGGACTTTGGTCTTTTAAAAATGTCGGTTTAATCAGCTGTGTTTTCCAAGCAAGGATCTAAAGTACTGTGACTTTGGAGTGGAACAAATTCTGATTGTAACTTTGCACTGGTCATCTGGGACCAAGAATTTGCAATTTTCTTTCATAGACTTGGCCAATGTAAAACTAGCGTTCACACAACTCGTCAAGCTGTAAGGTGACTTGTCTCTTTTTGGCAACTCTGCTAATCTGATTTTCAAACTATGGTATATTTGGTAGCGGGATGTGGAAATGCAACCAACTTTCGTTGGTTTAGCTAACCCAGAAATGAAACCCAACTTATCTGAAATGGGATTCTAATTCCTCTTCTGATATTCAAGGCGACAGATATCGATCTTTCACAATGCTGTTATGATACCGACATGTGTTCTGACCCCCCGCCCCTTCCGACCTGCAAATCACCCAGACACAGGCTTGGCTGTTTGCCACTCTTTAATCACGGCTTTATCAACTCCTTTGGCTGAAGGCCCAGACACGACTCACATACAAGACTAGTTGAAAATCCAACAGGCACAGATACATGACAGACAGAGTATTCCAATACTGTTTCAAACGGTTGTGTCTTACAAATGACCCCTCCCCACTTCTTTACTTATATAGTCTCTTGGGAGGGGCCAAACCACAACCACCTGGGCTTAATTATCGTCTC